CGCTCTGATATGTATTATTGTTATGAAGGAGTGGGCTTGGCTGGGCTAAGGTGGTTTGCCCCTTATTTTCAAAAGGGAAACTACATATGTCACACATGCTTACAAAAAATCACACTTTCCCATCCTACTCTGAAAGTGCTGTAATCTGCAGTGGCACTCATTGTGCTTGGCCAGCTTGCCAGAGGCAAGCCCTTGGACTATCTGATACAAATTTAATAGTTGTGGTGTACATGTTTCTCAAAGTTACACTTTCTGCACCTATGGTGTGGACCCTCACTACACATGTTTAATTCCAGTTTTGGTACACATCTTTATCCCAGTTCCAGTGCACATGTTTAATCCAACTTCTGGTACACATATTCAATCTCCATTCTGATACACATTTATCCCAGATCTGGTGTATACCTTTCATCTGAATCATCAATGTTAGGCTTAGACCTTAGACCTGGACACAGCACTCACTTCGCTTGGCCATGCCTGCCAGAGGCAAGCTGTCCCCCCAGTACATATCTTTATTCCAGTTCTGGTGCACATTTTAAATCTCTGTTTTGGTACTGACATCTCATCAAATTTAAATTATTTAAATTATGCTCTGACCTGCACCTATGGTTTGGCACTCACTGCACTTGGCCAGCTTGCCAAAGGGAAGACCCTTGGACTATCTCATAAAAATCTGATAACTGTGGTGTACATGTTTCTCAAAGTTATACTAATCCCTGTTTTGGTACTCACACTTCATTTAAATTTTCAAAAATACACTTTAACCTGCAGTGGCAATGGCTGCACTTGGCCAGCTTGTCAGGGCAAGCCCCCTAGACCTCCTAGTGCATATGTTCAGTCCCCATTCTGACACACACATTTTATCTTAATCATCAAAGTTAAACTGCCCTCATTCAAATTTTTATTCTAATCCAAATCATCAAAGTTACATGTAAATCCACACCTATATAGTCCTACATTTTGTACTGTAACTGCAGTCAGCAGTACAAAGCTGGCCATATTTTTTGATTTTTCCACTTCAGTCACCCACTAACAACTGACTATTAGTCTTGCAAACTCCATGAATACTACGGGACTAAATGTCAGGGTGTATATCTATATTGTATATATTCTGGGGCTTGTATATCTCCACTTTTACGTAAATATATTTTGATGTCCAATGTCACACCAAATATATTTCTAGTGTGTCACACACCCCAAAATATATTTCTTCACTGAGATGGACACCAAATATATTTCTTATGCCTGGACCCTGAATTGTGACTGTCACACTGTAGAAATATATTTCTGGTCTGGGATGGACTTAGGATATATTTTGCAGCTGGGGTTGACCAAGGATATATTTCTTCAGCCACTAGGGGTGTCTGGGGTCCCAGTTTCTATAAAAAAACTTGTGATTTTCTGTAATGTGGGACATATATTCCAGATGATGTTTCTACTATTTTTAAGGCTTTAGCCACCATCTGGAGCTGTGTTTCCTTGACTGTTTGTAGGATATACATAGACCATTAGCATGGCTTCCATGAAGGCTGCAACAGTCTGACTGTCCATTTTTTTCTTATAGCACTTGAATATTATGGATAAGAAAAAACCCCTTTGCATGGGAGGACTATGATTGGGGGAATGAACATCATAGATCAAAACCATGTTCAGCAATGAACATGGTTAATCCAAACTGTTCAAGTTGGAGGACTATGACTTGAGCAATGAACATTTTAGATCAACAGAACTGGTCAAGTTGGAGGGCTTTGACTTGGACAATGAACATCATAGCTCAATGACTATGTCTTAGACAATGAACAAGATCAACCATTGAAGTTGGAGGACTATGACTTGGGCAATGAACATTGTAGATCAAAATCATTCAAGTTGGAGGACTATTATATATTTACATATACTTATAAGAAACATGGGAACTGTGCTGTGACGCTAGGTGACAGGATAGCAGAATGAGGTAAAGGTGCAGGCAATGCAGATGGATGCACAAGATTGGAGTGTGAGTTGGCTGAGGAGGTGTTGGGAGTGGTTCCGACTTGAGGGGATCCATGTAAGGTTCGGGATGTGCGCAGAGGTGTCGTGCATTGCTTATATTGAAGGCAAGGAGGAAGAGGGAGTAGGGGTGGCTGCAATGTAAGAAAAAAAAAGAGTTGGGGACCAGGCAGGCTCGCCTGCCGCTAAAGCATGTGATAGTAATGGAGACTAGGTGGCTGTGAAATGACTATGCAGCCACAAACATGGCAACTTTTTGCAGGACCCTGGAGCTCATGCCATTTCTTGTCCGCAACTTGCAAGTCTGTCTGTATATTCTAAACCAACATGATATTGATGTACTACATTAATCAGGGTAGCCTAGTTAAATATTTGCACCTTGAGAAAAGCAATGCTGGACACAAGTGTGGTGTTCCATTTCAGCCTGAGTAACACTTGGAACTAGAGTGACTAGGGCATTATCAAAGTCTACTTGTGAGACAGCCACCAGTAAGTCATCAGGTGATGCAAGTTCAGACAGAAAATATTGTGGGGTCATTGGATAGGGATGTTG